GGGGGGAAGCGATCAAAACAACCTGAGCCTGAAATATACTCTGTCCCTTGGCATTTTGCTTGGAAGGAGAAAACAGGAGCGTGGTGCATGATTTAGGAGGGGACCGCCAGGGAACTCAAGTCCTCATTCAGGCAGTAACTGTGTGACGCCAGGGCCGTGCCCTTCTCTCCGAGTCTGGCTCCCAAACAAAAAATCGAGGGGTTCCGAGGGGTTCCGAGGGGTTCCGCCGCGGATACCTAAGGTGGCTCTAACCCCGCGTGATTATGGGAATGCCTCTCCCCAACCCCGTCTGTCGTCCAGCTCCCGCGGGCTTCAGTTTATTGAGCAGGAAGAGCAGCCGGGCGGGTAAGACAGCCCTGTCATTGCCTCCCCACCCCGAACAAACATGAGTCAAAAGAACCACGAAGAAGAAGGCATAAAAGAAATCGTTACCCGAAGAAATACCTTCTTTATCTATGTCCATTTCGTCCCACAAGGAAAAATGGCAGTGTCGGTTGTACATTACATATATCTCTTTCCCTTTCGCGGTTCATCGTAGCACCTGCACAGCAGAGACCTTTACAACGCGTGGCATACGCCCCTCCTCCCCCTGCATCCAGCACCTGAGGCCCAGGCAGCTCCCTCCAAGCTCTTCCCCAGGCTGAGACCCTTCTTGGCAACATTGTATAGAAAGAACAAACATGCCCCACGGTTTGATACACAGTTGCGAGAACGTTATTTAGTTTCCAACGAATGAAGGTTTTGTGTGTGTGTGTCTGTGTCTGTGTGTGTGTGTGTGAGTGTTTCTTCCCTCCTCTGAACATTAATTACACTTTACAAAAATTTTTTTTTTTAATTTATTGTTGCTCGGTGGCGTCCCGGTACGTCTGCGCCACAAAAGGGCCGGGGGCCGGTTAGCAGAGCTTGGCGGTCATCTGGTCGGCCTGCTTGAGGATCTCGGTGTTGTAGAGGTCGAGCGCGTGGTTCACCCGGATGATCTCGCTGCTGGTCAGCCGCAGGCGGTGCTTCAGCATACAGGAGAACAGGTCCAGCTGGGGCTTCCCCGGGGCCACGGGGGGCGCCAGGCGGTTGATGCGGTCCCGGATGTCCAGCAGGAGCAGCATCACGGACGAGGACGAGTAGAACTGGCCGCCCTGCGCGTAGGACTGGTTCACCTGCTGCACGGCGCTGCGCAGGAGGTCGGCGTTGAACCGCAGGCTGTAGCCGAACACCTGCACGTCCGAGATCTTGATGTAGAACTGCCGCTTGCTGGGGTCGGACAGGTCCACGGGGCCCTGGCCGGTCTCGTTCCGCAGGACGGTGGCCAGCCGAGTCCGACTGCGCAGGTAGATGTGCACCGTCTCGAAAAACGTTTTCCACCGGTTGCCCAGCAGGAGAGTCCAGTTGTAGCACTGGCTGTTCTGGAGGCGGATCTTCTCCCAGCGCGGGTACCCGAACTCCCCGAAGGGCATGTTCCAGCCCTCCGAGTGGCTCCCGCTGAAGGGGTTCACGTAGACGAAGAACATGGGGTCCAGGCTGCTGTTGCGCATCTGGCAGATGCGCATGGACATGCCGATCACCATGTGGATGAAGTCCATGCGGTTCTTGTTGCTCTTGAGGGTGAGAGACATGCGCTTGCGCCACCGGGGGTCGAAGAAGGTGTCCAGGCGGATCTCGTTGCTCACGAAGGTGGTGTGCACGTAGAGGCGCGAGTCCATCTTCTGCAGCAGGTACTTCAGCTCCAGGTCCTGGAAGTCCAGGTCGGTCTCGAAGCTGATGAACTGCTCGCTGCGCTCCGAGTCCACGTTCTGGGGCTCGCAGCGGCCTCGGTACAGCTTGTAGCCCTTGTTGCAGGAGCCGCAGAGCGAGATGTTGGCCAGGCTGCACATGGCACAGCTGTCGTTGCCGCCGATGATGCAGGGGATGGGGCGCTGGCACAGCGTGGTGCTCCCGTGGCACACGCAGCTCCTCTGGCTCTCCAGGAAGGTGCCCCAAAACCCGTTCTCGTTGCAGTAGAGGAGCGACTGGACCCTCGCCAGCCACTGCTGAATTGTCCTGGGGGGGGGCAGAGGGAAAACGGAGAACGTTAACCACCGGGGCAGGCTGTGAGCGACGGTCACGCAGCTGATGTTGTGCCCGGAGCCGCCCTAGGAAGGAGGGGACTGGGCAGCGCCCTTAGGCTAGGAGGGGCTGGGACGGGCATTGCCAGTCCTTGGGATGCCACAGGCCAGCCATGTGACCCTGTGCTTGCCCCTTGTATGTCCGGTGTCCTATCCGTAAAGTGAAGGTTGGGGGCGCACGTTCGTTGGGGTCCTTCTAACTCTGTGATTCCATTACACGTTAGCCCCGAATAAGTTTGATTCGGGAAATTAAAGGGTCTAAACTCAAACACCCCTGCTGGATGACAACAGATTGTAAAAAAAAAAAAAAAAAAAAAA